CAAAGTATATATACAATGATATATTTTTCATTCATTAAAAATAATGAAGGCAGCACAATTTGTCATAGCTAATTCTTAGAAACAACCCAAATGCCCACCAACTGAGGAATGGCTAAAAAATATGTGCTTTTTTATACAATGGCATACCACTTAGCCACAAAGAAGAGATAAACTTGACTTTTATAGGTCAATGGATGCAACTTGAGGCCACCCTCATAAGTGAAATAAATCAGACTCACGTGTGTAAACATCATATTGTCGCTCAGGTATGAGAAAAAGTAAATAAGGTCCAAAATGTACCTTACTTTCCCACTTCACAACAGATACTGTGAAATGGGAAGAAATTGTTCAAAGAAACTAAGATGGGAGAAGGGGTAAAAAAAGGAAAAAAAATACAAAATAGTTATACTACTGGCTTCTCTTAGGCAGTTCACTGAAAAGAAGGTTTGTGCTAATATCATTTGGAGAATTTAATGCTCACAGCGTGTACTCTGAGTAACCTAATTTAAAGATAACAATGTACTAACTATAGTTATTCTCCTATTTAAATGAAATTTTACTTTTTTTCTTCCATAATATAAAATATATATACATATATAGAAAGGAAAACCAACTTTGAAAAAAAAAATAATGAAGGGCTGATACAAACTAAAACACGAACTTTAGTAAACTAAGAGGGGTGTGAGGATTGTTGCGAGTTCAAGATCAGCCTGGATAGGCCAGCCTAAGGTGTATAGTAAGACCCTGTCTCAAAATAAATAAATAAAAACAAAATAAAAGGGCCAGCCAGATAGCTCAGCAGACTAAAGCACCTGCTTAGGCAGAGCGCAGTGTCTGGGGTTTAATCCCCGGTGTGCAGTACTGGCCCTGCCCCAGGGTGCGCGGAGACAACAATTGAGACTGGGAGTGGTAGTGCATGCTTATAATCCCAGCGCTTGGGAGGCTGAAAACAGGAGAATCACTACGAGTCTGATCTACATTGTGAGACCCTGTAGACCCTGTCCTAAATACATAAAATATAATAAAAATAAAAATAATAAAATAAAACAATAAAACACCAATCAAACAAACAAACAAACAAAACCCCAGTAAGCTAAGCGAAATAAGGTAGGCAGAACAGGTCACATAGTGCATGACTCCACTGATGTGAAATGTCCTTAACAGATAAAGGTACAGTGACAGAAACCAGACTAATAGTTGCCTGGGGCTGGACGAAGGGAGGAATGAGGAGTACGAGTTTTGTGGATAAGGGCACATTATGACAGAGCATTCTGGAATTAGTGGTAGTGCTAGTTCTACAATATTGCTAATCTACGGAAAATCACTGGATTACACACTTTGGAATAGTAAGTAGCAAATTTTATGTTATGAGAATGTCATCAGGAATATATTATTGCGTGTTGTATGGAGCTCTCTCACAAAGACACGAATATCAGGCATATTTCCGTTTGCGAAATTAAACTTAATAAGTCAAAAGCACTTATACCTGTGTTTTAACTGTTTTTGTATGTATGTGGATTTGCTAGCATTTTTCTGGGTATAAGATCATATCCCAGACTAAATTTTACTTCTTCCTGTTTAGACCAGATCCTTTTCCTTGACTTGCCCCCCAAAACTAAGCTTCAATATAAATTATTTTCTATGTAACAGACACATTCTGATATCAGCTGTACATCAATCTTTTGATTTATAATTTATTAGAGTTCAGCAGATTTGCTCATATAGAAGTTTTACAAATTTTGTAAGATTTACACCTAAGGCTTTTTTTTTTTTTTTGGTAAGTACTAATTTTATTTTATTTTATTTATTTAGTTTTGTATTTTATGGAAGAGTCTACAGGGTGCTCAGGGTCTCACTACTAGATCGTCTCGTAGTGATCTGCCTGTTTACAGTGCCACCACGCCTGGTCTCAATTGCCGTCTCAGCGTGCCCTGGAGGCAGGGCTGGCATGGCAGGCCCAGGGATCGAAACCCTGGCCCCTGCACCTGTTTGCAGGTGCTTTAATCTGCTGAGCTATTTGGCTGGCCCTTGTAAGTACTAATTTTAAAGGTTCTATGTTTTTAATTTTAAATTGGACATGTTCATAGTTGATAGAGGAACATGACTTATACATTATCTTCATACCCTGCAACCTTGCTATAAACATGTTTTAATTACAGGAGTCTTGAGATTTTTGTTATCTGCTATTTTAAACTTTGTTATGCTCATTGAAAAGAGTAAATTTTGAATTAAGTAAAATGGACATAGTATTAATTTTTCTAATAAGAAGCTAAAAAAGGGATGCCATTACTAGCACCACAGACTGGGTGAGTGCAATAAGAGAAATTTACTATCTTACAGCTCAGAAGGGCAGCAGTCTAAGAACCTGCTGTGGCTGCACTGGTTCCTTCTGAGGGCTGTAGGTGAAAATCAGTTCTGGCCTCTCTCCTTGGTTGTCTTCTCCCTGTGTCGCCAGTCTTCTTTCTGTACGTACCCGTGGCCTCACTCTTCTTCTGAGGACACCAGCCATATGGAATTATAGTAGTCTAACCTAATCACCTCACAAATCTGTTCAGTATTATAAAATGTACTTACCAGTAAATAAGAAATTCTGAAAAACAAATGATTCAAACATTCACTATAAAATAGGAAAACAACATACCTACAAAGGATACATAAGAAAGTTAAAATAGAAATTAATAAACTAACAAAACATTAGTGATTAGGAAAACAAATACTAAGAACATGGTGAAAGAATGGCATCTTATTGTGATTTTAATCTTTTAAATACTGTTCATGAATAAAAATTCACAAAATTTTATGATTTTTCCATAGCTAGCTAATATAGTAGATAATATTGTATATTACAAGAACTGTAAAATGACTTTTGGCAAGTGCAAGATCCTAAGTTCCTGGAACCAAGAAAAATGAGAGAGAGCCAGCCAGCCAGCACGTAGAGCGGTTATGCCTTTATGGTAAACTGAGCAAGAGATTCTCGCACACTTCTGTCCCCACAGAGGAACACAGGTAGCAACACTCCCTTGAGTTATATAATAGGTGAACGAGTGCTGACACATCATCATCTTGGTGTTGAATAGTCCATGGATTTTGATAAATGATACATATCCACCATTATAGTATCACAGTAATTTCACAGCCTTAAATGTAATCTCACCTCAAACTCTCACAGCTATTGATAGTTATCTTCATGTGGCAAATATAAAGCAGTTGGGTAAGATTAAAGAACAGTGAGGCTCTCTTATACATTGTTGTTGGGAGTATAAATCGGTCAAATGAATTTGGCAAACAGCTTAACTTTTTCTTTCATAATTGAACATACACATGCCTCACCACCCAACATCACACAAGTCTATGTCTATGAATATCCTCAAGAGAAACTGTGGGGCTGGTGAGATGGCTCAGTGGTCTAAAGCACCTACTTAGAACAAGCTTAGCAAAGCACAGGGACCGATGTTCAATCCCCCAGCACCACATGCCAGCCAGCCCTGCCCCCTGGTGGGCTGAGCTGGCCACACACACACAAATAAATAAATAAAATTAAAAAAAACAAAACAAAACAAAGAGAAACTGTGGCTTATGAGCCCCAGAAAACAGGTAAAATGGCCATCCTGTGAGTCTATTCATAATAAATGCCTGGAAACAAACCGGATGCTCACCAGAGGCCTCGTTCACTAGCCCTCAGCGCCTTTTCAGTGCGCCTGCTCTCCACATGCAGTCACGTTCAGAAGTACTGGGGTTAGAACTTCAATATATGATTTTTTAGGGGAAGCAATTTAGCTTATAGTAGGTTTTTATAGTTCTTAAAAATAAAAATTACATTTTATAGCAATCAATTTATTCCTTATTATTAGTTCAAGGAATACATGGAATTTATAACATCTTGAAAACATTAACATCAAGTCATGTAAAAATACAGAAAAGAAATGTGGAATCAACAGAATTGTCCTAAAGAATATCATATATATAAGAAATGAAGGAAATGCTTTCCTTCCTACTTGTCGTATATCAGCTGATATCCAAAGCATAATGGTACCCCAGACATTCATTATATTATGGGTTGAATAGGCAGGATTCCTGGCTTGTGTGGAAATCCAATCAAATGCATACTGTTATCTCCCTGGCAAAGTGTGCTCCAGGTACAGTAAATGGATGTCTGACTTGTGAGGCAGGATGCTGATGCTGTACATGAAACTGTAGCATCTGCCTGTTAAGATCCAACTGAAGGGAGAGTTACAAGAAGTAAAACATGGGAATCAAATCGAATTTCTCTTTTCAAGGTTATTCAGCTGAACCAGCAGGAGATGAGACAGCCCTTAGGACTACAATAATATAGAGAACAAATACTCAGCAAGAAACTACTGCTAAGAAGATAGAAAAGTGATGTCATGAAAAGAAGCTCAAGTACTCACGTTGGGTTTCATGTACTTACGCCTCTGCTGGGAAAAGCAGACCCCCTCCTGCTCTATTCTCGTGACTCCCACAGTGGTCTCCCAGTGGGTTAACACTGCTGCACCACCAGGGAGTCTGAGTCAGCAGACTGCAGGTGTTCCTGCCACCCAAGTTACCACAAGTAAGGCTATCGGGGGACAGAAGACTGATGGAGACCACTGTACAAGGAACACTGAGCACTGTTTCTAAGGACAGAAGCCAAATGGTACCAAGGAAGCCATGAGGAATCGTGCAGTGAGGTAGACAGAATGAAAATGGTAGAGGCTACTGCTTCTTACCCTGCCCTACCCACAATCCAGTTGCCTGAGAAAACAACACGTACACAGACTCAGCAACAACAAAACTTGTAGTCTAGAGTGCGGTTGGGAAGTGCTTGTACTGGCTTTCCTTCAACGGAAATTTGTGAAGCATCAGAGCCTGCTCAAAATGATGCCTGCCTTGCTCACCACTGCTGTAAGACTTGTGCACAAAGAGAAGCCCTAGACTAAGAGAAAACATTCCACATGCAAGTACACAACAGGGGGAGAACAGGGCATGCAATTCATCTTTACCTGTCAAATGATGACCATGCTTGGACTTCACTGTCTCAGAGGTCACTTTCTCCAGTGGTGTTTCTGAGGTCAGAGTCCCAGGTGTCCCCTTTACTTGGCTACTTGAAACATTAGGAAAAAGTTTCTTCAGCACTTTTTCAACAAACA